TGGTGCAAGATGAGCTAGATATGAACGTTGCATGTTTTTGTTATTGTCGATTTTGGTTTTCTTGGACGCTTTTCTTCCAAGTAATATCGTGCTATATGGAAGGTGTTAGATCCCTGCTTACCACTGTCTACAGTAACCTTACATCACCCTCACGCATCCTCTTTTCTAGCCTGGAAGAACTGGGTGTGACTTCAAGGCGCTGTATTTGACCTGGCCTGCTGTGCCCAGGCTACCATCCACCTGGAGGTCCTGGGTCTGTTTGCAATGTATACAACTACCACCCCAGCTGCACTCATGACTTTGGGGGGTGGGGTGGGGTGGGGGGTGTGTGTGTGCAGTAATTTTGACAGTTTGAGAACAATTTGTTGGATCGGCAGAGACCATCTGTGCTCTGCATTACGGTAGATACACCACCCCCGGATGCACGCAGCCGCTGCGTGCACGTGTGGCATGAAAGGGCGCGTTCGCAAAGTGCTGGATTTGCTCCCCAGGTAGGGCTCGCTTGCATGGCATGGGAGCTGAAGGAAGCCCAGGGCTTCCCAAAACATCTGGATTCGCCAAGACGCTTGTTGCGTGGCATTTCCCAGGGAACATCCAGCGGCGTCCCTGCTCACTGCAGGGGGGGTTGGACTAGATGACCTCTAGGGGTCCCTTCCAACCCAAAACATCCTATGATTCTGTGACTTTATTGCGGCCCGCAGGAGCAGAGGGAGGTGCACCAGGGACCATCCAGCGGCGTCCCTGCTCACTGCAGGGGGGGTTGGACTAGATGACCTCTAGGGGTCCCTTCCAACCCAAAACATCCTATGATTCTGTGATTCTATGATCATTTCTTATAGTCTGTACGTTCAGACGCCTACATTGGTTCATCTGGAAAGATTTCAGACAATGGGATGATTATTTCTCCCTCTGTAGGGCTGTGGCCATCTGTGGATGAGGTGGGCTGTTCTTCTTCTTAAAACATGTCGTAGGTCGATACCCTGCCTGAAATCCCAACACAGTTTTTGGAGTGGGGCTCTTTCTGTTTGCAAAAAGCTTTCTTGTGGGCCAGGACTTGCGCTTCCATGTCTGAGAGCGTTCTACCTACATTAGCAGTTTTCAAGCTGTTCATGGCTCAGAGATGTTAACTCTGCAGAATAGCCCAGCATAATTTTTTTTGAGTGAGTGTGTGTGTGTGGGCTTAAAAGTTTTTACAGAAGATCAGAGACTGTGAAAATGTTGCAGTCTGCTTTGAAAGAATTTCTCTGGGGGAGTAAACTCCATTTTTGGCAACATCCTGATTTCACAAATCTTTATCAGAAATATTTCTCCGTGGACCACGTTCAACTAGTCCCCCAAATCCACGAGGAGCAAAACCGTTTGATCCGGAATTCAAATTCATAGGAAAGCATCGCCTGCTTTGATGCTGTGGTGGAGGGATGACAGATTTCTCCTCCCTTAGAAAAACACAGGGTGGACTCGGGTCCATCCAGTCCGGCTTCCCCACGCCCATGGTGGTCGCTGGAGGATGGCTGGGTCGAGCGAGTACCGATGCTTCCCTGTCTGCTTCAGCCATCTCCAGCGGTTTTGCAGTCGGGGATTTCTGAGCCAGAAGCGTTCTACTTGTTTGACCAACTGGAGACCAGTTAACGCTTAATGCTGGAGGAATACAGCAAGGCAAAATCTGTGTCTGCAAACTAGCTGAAATCTGGACTTGGGAGCTATTTAGGGAGCATTAGAAGGCCCGGGAGACAGCAAATGGAAAATAAATGCCCAGGAAAGCATGATAAAATTGGCATTAACGCAATAAAACTGTTGCCTAGTGTTTGCGATTGTCAAATAGAGTCTTATAAAGGGTAAGAGATGTTGGTGAGACCGGTGAGCTGTGCTTCACAGCTGCTTGCCTTCGGTTGACTGTAACCCTTCTGCTGGGGCGTGTTGAACGGGTTCGAGGTGGAAAGGCT